TACTAATAATTGCAAATGTAATAAAAAATGCAAATGTCTTCCAATCCAATATGACTTGTGGCTTGATGAAATAGTGTTTATAATTGCTCAAGCACAAAGTCATTTGGCAGGTCAATCGATAGAGAAGTTATATAAATTGATCCAAGACGCGAGGCGCATTATTATAATGGATAATGACCTAACTGACCTTAAAATTGAATGGATTAAGGCCCTTCGTAAGAATATACCTCTCTCTATTATCCACAATACTTACCAACCTCAGAAAGGTAAGACATTCCACTTGGCTCCTAATAAAGAAACAGTATTAGCTGAACTTTGGGAATGGGCTAAGCAAATGTCTTTATTACCTTCTGAGAATCGGACAAGCGCATCGCTCATCTGTCATCTTAGAAAAGATGTGCAAGGAATAGTTCGTTCCCTCAAGACTGTTTTTCCAGAATTATGGATCAAGGAATATCACGGCAAATCTGATCCAGTGGAAAAGGCTCATGACTTCAGCAATGTAGAAGAATCATGGAAAGACGTAGACTTAGTTGCCTATACAAGTACTTTAAAAATAGGAGTATCCTGCACTAATCCTAAGTTTGAGCGAGCATTCTGTCTTTTTAATAGCTACATAGAAACAAATGCCGGAACGAATCAGATGTTATTCCGCATGCGATGTATTAAGGATTATATATGCCATATCGAGCAAAGAACGTCTAATGTTCCCATTATAGAAGATGGGTTATTTCGATGGTTGTTAAGTGCTAAGCGTGAATGTCTCCCCCGTGAACTTCAGAATAGAGGAATATTTCCTGACATAGACTCTATCATTCGGAATAAGGATGTACCATCTGTTCGATTATGAGTGGCATTCATGTTGGAAAAGTTCCGTTCTAGGCGCTTATTTGGCTGGAGAATGGTTGATTTTCTCCGAAATGCAGGTATGTTGATTTCTATCATAGAACTTATTCCTAAACCTAAAGATAATACGATATCATTATCCCAGACAGTAAAGGTGAGTTCATCTATCATTAAAGCGAAAGAAATCTCAGATATATCAAATGCCCGTATTCTTGATCATGAGATAGCTGAGGTTTTGGAAAATAAGCCGAAGAAGACTTTAGAGGAAATGCGATCTTTAGACTGGCATCATATTGTAGAATGTTATGATATCTTGCCTGAATCATTGACCGAAGAATTCATATCGAAGTATGGGAATTATAATCATATGAAATGGTTTAGAGCTTATAGACAGTTACGGGACGCTGGCACTGATAATGAAACGGCTGTTGAGGCTATTACCCGTAAAGATTACAGAGAGGATAGACTCGCAACCGTGACCCGAGCTGAGAGACATAGTATCTGCTTGGAGTTGCTAAGAAATTGTACATCCGCTAGAGACGTTGACGATAGAGCACGATATAAAGCTGATGATGTTAGAACGCATATGAACTCTCCTGAATCGATATTATATCTCCAGGGTTTAGTGCCTAAAATGGCTCGAGTATTTGATAATACAGATGCATCGCGCAGAGCTAAAAAATCGGGATTGAAAACAGATCGGGCAAAACTTGGTTTATTAAATGCATCACTTTACGCAACTTATGGATTAAAATTTAAGGCTATAGATAAGAATTGTAGACATTACCACCTAGTAGGTTCATTTGATAGTAAAGATGCTTCTAGATTACCTTCATATCAAACGGGTGAAGAAATTTATTGGGTAAATGGTGAAGATACTCGGTATGGGTATAGTAAACTCCCACCCGATGAATTGATATTAGATAATTTTACTAGCTCTAGCAAAGTGGATAATACGCAAAATACAGAAGATATTCAGGACTTATTTGATATATGCTAATACCATTCGATTACGTATCAGGTAGGTGAAGGCTTCTGCCATTTTTATATAATATAATTCCGCAGAAGCCTTCATCTATCGGCATATATTATTAAAAAAATATCTCTAACTTTGCGTCACTCCGGCCAGGATACATAGTCACATATTTTGAGACGTAAGCTTCTACCAAAATTTTATATAATAATCGACTAATGAATGATATATTTTTTTTGCTTACTTTCCTAGTGCTCTGAATTTCGAGTTAACCCCTAATCCCCAAATAGACCTAGACCTATATCCTCATCATCTGACTTAGAAACCGGAGCTTCATAGATTCTGGGTTGAAGGGGTCTAGCCACATCACTTAGCTCAAAAATCGGAGCTCCAGAGATTATGAGTCGAAGAGTCCCATCCATATCACTTAGCTCGGAAATTGGAGCTTCAGGGATTCTGGGTTGAAGGGACCTATTCCCATCACCCGGTTCGAAAATTGGAGCTTCAGGGATTCTGAGTTGACGGGCCTCAGCCTTATACTTCTGTCTCATTCGATAATTCAGTGCATGAAACTTTGCAGAATATTTGGAACAATATTTGGCGCAATACCCTGAATCAGCATCAGTAGGAAATCCACAAATAAGGCAGGGTCTTTTTTTCATATTTTTTTCATATAATTTCCAGTGCCTTGCACAGCCTGTAGTACGAGTACAGACTCCCCCACAAATGGAACCATCTCTCTTGATAAACCGGCAAGTAACACGATCCATGTAAGTATTTTAGGATATAGAAACCTTTTCACTTTTAATTTCATAATAAAATGTGTATTTAAATTATTCGGTATTAAGATAAGTCACAAATGACTTTTCATACTAACGCTATGGACATATCAGGCCAATTGGCAAATAGAGTTCACGAAAAAATATATAACCCCAAATCTAATCGCATGATAATTATAAATGGGTCAGTATATCGTAAAATGTTACTTGAAGGCTATATGCATTGGAAAGAAGAAAGGCTTTTAATTCCGCCTTTGCATGAATTGCCAATATTAAGAAGATACCTCTCTTTCATCTCCTATCGTATTTGGAGTATTGTATCGGAAAGAAGTTTACTAGCAGTGGTTAACGAAAAAATAAGCCTATTGCAGATCTTACTCCGAGCTAATTGGCACAATCTCACTTTATGCCAACTATTAAAATTATGCTGGAAACACAAGGAGACGAAAGCTTGGAGGAATAACGTACTCATGAAATTCCTCCATCATCCGAATTTAGCTCCATCAAAATATAGGCCGGGTGCGTTATGTGATACATTTATCAAGACAGATGTTTTAGGGCCAGAATATATATTAGCTCTAGCACGAACGTTTTACTAAATATTACTATAACATTTCGGTCTTAGATCATTCATAGCCTTGGAATGGGGGTTCCATGACTATGTATTTTTTTCGCATATCCTATCTACCCACAAATTTCAAATATATGTAAAACATCCCGGCTAGAGTGAGAATTATAATATTCTTTTCGCCCGACCATAAGGTAGTGAAATGACAGAATATTTTTTTCGAATTGAACATTTTTGTACGTAATATAAAATTAGTACATTTTAATATTCTTGACTATAGTGTCGTAAAACAATATGGCAAAAGTAGCTACAGATTTCATGAAACGCCATAACTGGACCTTCGAAACTCCATTATCCGAACTAGCCCAATATACAGAGGAAATTAACAAAAGTTTGAGGGATGATCGCAAGGTAAGATCCAATGCCAAAACACGTTTTCGACAATTAGGGCTTACTAAGGAACAAGTAGAAATTCTCATTCCTATTCGACCTACTGGAAAGCGTGAAGAAAGCAGGGATACTGTTGATAAAATTGCCCAAGAAATTGTGGAAAAGGATTATCCGTTTGAGAAAATAAAACAAATTTCATATGATTTGGGCAGTTCCGCACCTAATCCAGTTGCAGGAAGTTCCCGGCTTACTTTATTGCGAAAAAAGTTACGGGATCATGAAGCTGATCATCTCAAAAAAGAAGCGACCAAAATTCCTCATATTACTACTGAATCGAATAAAATTCAGGCACGACAGCTTGTACTTGATGAAGATGAAGGTGTCGACTGGCCTGAACACTTCCTCTTAGAACCGGTTCAGGAAAGACTTGAGAAATGTGATTTCTCTTTATCACCTTCTAAGGAAGATCTGGTTGATGTAATGATAATGTTAAGCATGCGACCAGCAGATGTTGCTGGTCTTTCTATTGATAAATATGAAGCATCAGATGAAATCTGGTATGACCCTAAATTTTCCTGGTATTGTACTGGCTACTCTAAAACTAAAGAAGAAACAGGAGTAGGGGAACCTCGGCCTTTTCTCTCAATGGAAAAGGATCCAGTACGAGCAAGGGAGTTTCTTACCTGGATTCAGAAAGCAATACCAGAAAAATTCACCTTCTTACGAAAAAACAAAAGCGGTATAGTTAATGTAAATCCAATTAATCTTATTTTAGCTAAACATGGAATTACTTCGAAAAAATTGAGGAAGATAGGTGCAGACCACACTTCCAGGATCCATGGAGGTAAGAATGATTCTCGTCGCCAACGTTTGCGAAAATTAGCTTGCAGACAAGTAGTAGGGCGAGATGAGTCAGTTCAACGTTATGGTATCATGAACGACCCACCTTGCAATTGTTCGAAGGGAACTCAGAAGAACCAGGTAAAGATAAAAGAAAAAATGGATTAACCCTGATAATGATTTGTATATGTCTATCCGATCAGGCAAAGGCAATCAAGCTCTTCGATGAAAATTAATCACATATTAAGGGTTAGGGGCGTCAGGAATGGTGGTACTCTACCGATCCAACTAATCCGGAGCGGTGATCATCAGCTCGGAAGAATTTGCTGAGCCACAGACTGTGACAAAAATAAATGGATCATCAGTCAGGTCTTGTCTTGTGTGACATATTAATTTTCGCATATATTCGATTAACCTTTGTTCTTTATTTTTTCCCAAAACAAATGTGAGAAAAATGTAAAAGGGGGTCTAGTTGCAACACAGGACAAGCTCTAAAAGTAAATAGTGACAGCAAAAGCATATGTTGTGAAAGGCCGGGAACTTTGTAATTTCGAGATTGTCAGGCGTAAGACCAACTATATGTCTTGCAAGGTAGATCTACATGTGAAAAGGTATGAGAATTCCATTTGCATGTGCTTTCACAGAGCTCTTGGCATCAGACGACAATACTAATTACGCTATATACCTCCTTATATTTTTCCAGCAAGATATAAAGCATGTAGGGGTATGTGGAAGTTCAGCCAACTTTCCGCAAAAATATTCCTGTAAAATAGTTTCACTAGCGTAGCTAACGCAAAACAAGGTATGTATATGCCAGAAGTTATGTATGTATGGGAATGAGTTTTTCTCACCATGGGTCTTGTATTTAGGGATCAAAATGAGCTACGACACCATCATTCTCAATTGTCTTATCGTTCCTATAGGAAAACTTATGAATATTCCAGGTATTAAAGTAATACAATCAATTATGGTTCGCAAACATGAAGGTTCTAGCAAACTCGAGGCTGAAATTCAAAGCAGATTGGGGGCACCATTTAATAAAATCCCTCTCAAATTTTGTATAATTCAAGCTGGAAGTGTTATTGAAAGGGAAATGGAGCTGTACGATCAGTTTTCTGAAATTTTTAGTTTTGATGAGGAGACTAAAGCAGAGCACTTCCATATCACTGTATACCCCCGGTCAGAATAATCTTCTGTATCATGTAGCGATATATTCGCAATTTTATGTATTGTAGGTCGGCTTCCGGCAACTTTTTTTATTTCATAAATAAAATATTATTTACGTGGATCTGTTCTTGTCGTAAATCTTGAAAAATGTCACGTGTAATGATGTAATATAATCGCCTGACAATCCTGTACTACATCTTAATTGCATATATATATTGGGTAAATGCATTATGAATCGATACAAAAAATCTATCATTTTCCACCCGAGCACATACTCCGGAAACCAAAAATACTTTTATATCCATAAACCAGCTTTGCCTGTAACAGCAGTCAAGTGCATATTTTTTCGCAAGCACAAACTCACATATATAAAAACCATGTCTTCACAAGCTTC